GGAAATGCCCATCCTGTTTGTACCCCTTTCAATTTTCAGTCTTACAGACTGTTTTATTAAACTGTTCTGTATTTATCGTTGTCTAAGTCCGACTATGCAAAACTCCTACCTATTCACCCAGGAAAACTTGGTTCAGACTAACCAAAATGTGCAGCAATAGATCCGTAATCACCTCATTAAAGTTTAAAACCAAGCAGCTCTTACTTCCCCTCTCACAGACACACACTTTCCCTTCTTCTTTAAAATCGCCAAGTATTTTTATCCAATTACAGTCTAAAGTTTGTTGTTGTTTGTTGTTGATTCATTTGGATTCTTTCTTTGTATTTTGTTTGATGATGGTTGAATTTGAAACAAACATTCTTAGACGATAATTTACAAATGGATTTGAAACACTTTTATTTTACTCTTTCTAATTGCCATTCAAAGCATTACTTAGAATTTACATGATATTTGGATGGGTGGGAGTATTACTGTAATTTAGGAATTATTAAAAAGGTATGGTCCTTCTAAAAACAGCTTTGACTACCTTGTATTAAATCTAGTGATGGGAAGAAAATTTTGCTGGATTTGCGCTGCCATTTAATGTCTTGGCCACAAATCTATTTTGTGACTTTAGCCAAAGCTGAACTTTTCTGAGGTTTTTTCTTATCATTTATGAAATTCAGGATCTTTTCCCTACATTATTTCTATCTTACATTCTGGTGTTAACATACTATCATTTTGTTTGAATTTAGTGAAAAGTTTCCTCTTTCTCTTTGATAATTATATATTTGCATTTTCAGATTAAAACAAAAAATTTTATTTTTACACTGGCATGTTTTTGATTCTTGAAACTAAAAATTGAAAACTCGTTTTTAAATTACAATATGAAACAACAAACTGGTAGATGTTTTAACTGAAGATAGGAAACATTTGTATTTTACGTATAAATTTTTTTAAAGTCACCAAACTTGAAAAGTAATTTTCAATTATTGACTGTTTTTATTAGGTAACCATACAGACTGAGTTTGAGTGACACCCTATATCATGTATGGTCTACAAATGAATTTCTTCAGGAAGATGGTGCCATCTTCCCTCACAAACTGCAGACAACGCTTTGTCCAGAATTTTACAATTGCCATCTGGGTGGCCGGGCTCTTAGAACTTAACGGCATATATATGAAGTGTGTCCCTTTCCCCTAAAACTTCTTCTAAGTCAAGTTATCAAGTTTGGGGCACTATCTGGATGTTTTCCACCAAACCTGTTAGAAGCTCAACGCAACAAGTGTAAACTTATTGTTGGCCTGCACATTCAACAGATAAATTTTAAAGAGAGAGAAGAAAAGAAAGAGAATGGAATTGTCCTTTTCCTGACTTTCCAGTTTCTCAGTCCCTTCCCTATAATGTGCCCCTTTCAGGTCCCTCTCAGACTTGTGGGAAGCCTTTAGGGGCAGCCTGCAACTTGCAGCAGAGCCCACAGTGGGGGCAGGGAAGCCTCCTGAGGCACTGCCTACTAATGTAATTCCATAAATCAGCTAATGGGAGAGAAACCAGATCTGTGTGGTCTCTAACGCTGTCCCACAGAGATCAATCATGTCACCTGAACAATGTTGAGGAACTAAGAGGCTGGGGTTGCCCATGAGACAGTTTTATCCCTTGAGCCATATCGGGTTGGGATATTTTAAAAAGTTAGATCTTAGTATCAGAAATGTAACTGCTGTGAATATAAAAACTGAAAGATTACCTTTGTATGAGACAAAGTGCTATTATGTAACTTCTTATCATAAAATATAACCATGTTTCTTAAATATCTGGAAACTTAATAGTGATCATTTAGGATACAAGTTTCTGAGATAAGTTATGTCACACAAGCAGCATACAGCATTTGTAATAACTGCTTTGAATAATTAGTGATGATTTTTTAATATAGTAATTGACTAAATGAACAGTGTTACATGCAAACAGACAATGCACAATATCACAGAAAAGCTAAATTTGTTTTGTGTGTATTGTTATCATCTGGAATATCATCCAGGTGGTGATTTCATAAACATATTTCTAAGGCATTAAGATGCTCTTAACATGAGACCAAGCAGGAAAATGTGGAAAGAAGTAAAGCTGTTGTAAAAGGAATGCCAGAAGGGAGCCTTAGAAAGCATGGGCAATCCATGGGAGTCTGTCTTAATTCTCACCCTGAAAATCTGATTATGCCTCCAGACTTTGGAATGAGAATAAGTCAAAGGGAAGAAGGGCACATGAGGTTTGAAGTAATAAATAAGAATATAAGTAATGATTATGATCCTGATATTAATTAGTGTCCATAATTTACAGCCAACGAATCTTAACTACAGAGCTTAGATCTGAAATCCACAGGTAATATCCACGATGAATCCCCCATCACTATCCTCAGCTTGGGAGTCTATCTGATCTCTAATACATCTCCACAGATGACGATAAGTTGCAGGAGCCAAATTAGCAAGGGAAGCAGGTCAGCAGGGGACTTTGCACTGACCCGCAACCACCGTCCCAGCTGTGGTTCAGTCATGTAAACCCTGCCACTCTGACAGGCGACCAGCTGGTTTCCTCCAACCACAGCCGGCTATCACACGTGTGCTTAAGGCAATCACGCTGCCATGCCTTTTTCAATGGCCTAGATAGAATCTTAGCCAATTAAAGAAAAAAACCTTTTTCTTTCTTTCTGCCAAATAGCAATCCACTAATAATCTTAGCCTTGACCCAGGACCCAGTCTCTGGGAGGAAGTGATGTGGCTGGGAGAACATCTTCAGAGGGCCCCACAGGGAGAAATTTGTTGCCCTCCCATCCACACACCACCTTCTGAAGATCAACAGAACTTTGGTACACATGGAGTTTAAAAAGAAGAAAAACCAGTACTATGGGGTCATATGTGATCAAAATGCCTAAGGATTTTAAATATCACAACAAGTTTGTAGGAAAACTATCAAAAGACAAAAAAAGGAAGAAATTTATGAAATTTGTTTAGACGAATAACTCAGCATAGAAACGTGTGCAGAAAACCCATTGGTGCTCACATTAAGCTCCTTCAGAATGGTTACATACTAAATAAGTCAGAAGGAACTATTCAGTGGTCCTGTCCACTAAGTGGGATACAGGCCGTGCCCCGGGCCTAGCCACGGACAAGGCCCACCAGCAACATCAAATCTACAATTCTAGATATTATCCTTCAAGAGGAAAAATAAAACCCATAGTCCTTATCAATTGGGCATTACCAGGAAATTTCAGTATGAACTGAATTTTAATTTCCCATGGGCCTTAGAGATCTAAAGAAATTACAAAAAATTAATCCAGAAAAGAGAAGTCAAAAGCTAAAAACTAACTTTTGCTAACTAGGAAAACACACGGGCCTGTATTTTTATAACAGTTACCATCTTTGCTTAAGTAGAGTTGCCAAAGGAAATGTAATAAACCACCCTGGAGTAAAGTCAAACTTCCGACAAAGAGATGGGCTTTCTTATAAGGAGGAATATATGCAATATTTTGAGGGAACTGATTGCAATCAATAATGAGGTCAATATAACAACTGATTTCTTTGGAATCCCCAAGTGCTATTTGCTCTGATGTATGTTAATAAAATAAGAAAGAATCTGTATCTTACTTGTGTTCACACTTGCAACAAAGATCTTTCAGTCTCCTCTTTCACCCATTTAAAGACCAGTCCTTCACGGAGGAAACTCCTGTGAGCACTGCTCACAATGTTTTGAAAGAATTTGAAGAAAGCGCCCCTCCGATGGTCACTTCTGAGAGCCACTCCCACTGGACCACCCAGCCCACAGAATACTGCCAACCGCTAACTCACCACCTGCGTTCCCATGTATCTATGAACATCTAGCCATCCACTCTGTGAAATTTATCAAGGGGCTGAATAGGATTCCTTGTCCGTATTTCCTTGCTAAATATACCACCAAAACCATTTACCTGTGATTTCCCATTTTCATTCTTTTTGTTTTGATCAGGTTCCATATGAAACTCCCATCAAACACATCAATCTTTGCATTTAATGTAAGTAAGAGCCTAATTTAACAACTTTAGTGATAATCTGTACATTGTCTGTTTTAAGGACATATGGGAAAAAGAAACTGTCACTGACCACATAGAGTATCAACCAAGACTGTGCTTGGCGTATAGAACCATTTTGTGACCACAAAATAGTTACCTTGTCAAATGCAGAGCCCAAAGGAACTATTTTTTGGTAACCAAGTTTTAGGAATCATCCGTTTCTGAAACTATGTAAAAACAGTTCTTAAATAAACTTACCATCACCTGCCCCAAATGAACTAATTGTATCCTTTTACTCTAAGTCACATCTCCTTAAAAACTGCAGGTGGTGTTCGGTTTTCCATACTATTTCTGCTTTCTCAAAAAATGCCAGATACGCAGAAAATAAAATGAGAAAGAGAAACATTTTATCACCAGGAGAAGAACTACTCTAGAAGGGGGTAGAAAATCCCCCCCTGAATCCGTGTTTTTCAGCCTCAATGCTTACGCTGTGTGTGTGCGCGCCCGTGTGCGCGCGCGCGCGTGAATGGGAACATGGGCATGTGTGCACTAACTGTGTCTCCACTGTTACAACTGGGCCACTGATAAGTCTCTCCCAACCAGTAAAGGTAGAGAGAATGTCACGTGTGCAATGCTTTGGGCAGAGATGCTTTCAAAAATAATAAGGGGGCGGGGGCAGTCAAGCCACCAAGGGAAATTGTTGCCCATACTGAACGTGAAACTTGCGATTTTTCAAACCACTTACATTAGATTTCCCCCCGAGGCAAAAAGCGCGGGAGGCTGGCGGCTCCCCGCGCAGCGCACCGGGGAGGGCGGCGGGGCCCGCCCCCCGCGCCTCCGCCTACAACTGCGCCTCGCCCCCCGCAGGAGGCTGCAGGATGGGGTACTGCGTCTTGAAGGCCGACAAGAAGCCCTGGAGGGGGGGGGAGAGCGGGGTGAGGAGGGAGGGGGGCAGACTGGGAAACAAGAAATCATCTCCTCTGACCTCTAGCGAAGCGCCAGGTTTTTTCTTGAGCTCTTCGCATTTCCTGAATTTGCAGATCTGGTGTCCCGTTTTGCGGTTCCTGCAGCTGCTGCAGACGCCGCAGTTGATGAGCCGCTTGCAGGGCACGCACACCCCGCAGCGCTTCCTCTTCTTCTTGGCGGGGTTGGCCCCGCCGGCGCCCCCCGACGACGACGACGACGACGACGAGTGGCTCTGCGGGCAGTCCGCCAGGTTGGCGATCTGGAACGCGCTGTCCGTGACGGCGGCCGAGGCGGCCGCGGGGGAGGGGAGCGCCGTCATGACGATGACCCCCGGGGGCAGCGAGAGGCCGCCCAGGGCCGGCAGCGCGGAGAAGGTGCCCACGCGCTCGGGCAGGTTCATGATCTCGGCCTCGGCCGCGCCGCACTTGAGCTTGTTCATGCACTCGCCCGCCAGGGGCCTGCAGTGCTCGGGCGCCAGGCCGGAGAGGAAGTTCGTGTTCGCCATCTGCAGCGCCGGCTCGGGCGCGCAGCCCGCCTTGCCCAGCCGCGGGGAGTCGTTCCGGTGGTGCACGGGGGTCCGGCCGCCGCCGCCCCCCGCGCCGCCGCCGCCGCCGCCGCCGCCGCCCCCGCCCGCCGGGAGCCCCGCGGAGGAGGCGGCGGGGGCGGCGGCGGCGGCGGCGGCGGAGGAGGACTTCCTGCCCGCGCCCGCGCCCCCGCCCCCGCCGCCCCCGCTGCCCCAGAGCATGGCGGTGGCGGCGGCGGCGGTGGCCGCGTTGTCGCAGCTCCAGGGGGACATGCCGATGCGCGCGGCGGCCGCGGCGGCGGCGGCGCTGCCCGGGAAGATGGGGGTGGTGATGCGCGCGATCTTGGCGGCCTGCGGGAAGGCGCCCCCGCCCGTCTTGTAGAAGGAGCTGGCGAAGGAGCGGTAGCGCTCCATCTCCGAGTTGTAATCCACAAGGCTGTTGAGGGCCCCCTCGGGCAGGTGGCTGTCCTTGGGCAGGCCCGGCGCCTCCGGGCTCGGCCCGGGCTCCACGCAGACGTTGGTGTTCATGGCGCAGGGCGGGAAGAAGGGGTGCAGGGTGGAGGTGGGGACCGCCCGGGCCGACACCTGGGTGGGGGGCGGGGCGGGGAGGGGGCGATGGTGTGGGGGGCGAGGCGGGAGGGGGGCGGGTCCGGAGGGGACCGCCAGGCGAGGACGGGTTTATTCCTCTCTGGGGCGCATTTCCACAGACGGAGAATTCCCAGGCTGCGTCTTCTTTTGCATTATCCTCCAACTGTTACAACTAAAATAAAGAAAGTCATTCCAACGAGCTGCACGAGGAAGAAGATTAAAAATAAACAGCCCCCTGACTATCCCCCCCCCCCCGCCCGCAGACCCGCAGACACCCAGAGCTCCCACATTCTTTCTCGGCTCGTTTGCATAACAATCAAGACGTGACCCCCCCTCCCCTCCCCCACGCTCCAGCCCTGCTCCCTCCCTCCTGCGGCTCCCCGCAGCTCCTCCCCCTATTCTTACAGCCCTCCTGAGAAAATATATTAATAGCCGGGATACCCGGGGAAAGAGGAAAGACGGGGTGCCCGAGGCCGAGCGAAAAGGGCAATTGGAGCGCTAAAGACATGCAAATCAGGGGTGCGAGGGCGGTACCACGGATCACAGAGGGCAGTTAAACACGATGAAATGTGTGAACAAGTGCTACCCGGGCATGCAAATGCTGCAAAGTGGAAGCAGCAATAGCCCTACGAGGAAAATGAACAGGAAATTAGCGAACGAAGTCCTGGGAAAGTCCACAATGCACCCGAGGATCAACTGCGGGCACACACAATGCCGCCGAGAGCTCAGGGCGGCCCGCAGACAATCCCGACCAAGGAGCAGGGAGAAAGGACGACCAGCTGCCACAGTGTCCTTCTGTGTCTGATCCCAGCACAGCTGGCTCTGTGAGGGTCTTAATTCAATGGACCAAGGACAGGTCCCAATTGTACAAGACATTTGGTGCTGGGGCTTGGTGGGGGCAAGAGGATGGTGTTCTACTTGTTTAAAAGAAAGAAAGAAAGAAAAGAAAGAGGGACCAGATACAATTTTTTAAAAATAATACATTGTTACAGGTTTTGAACCAAGTGCCTGCGGCCTCTGTGAGAATATTCCCCATCATTCCTCACGGAGATCCTGTCTCCTCCTCAGACAAGAGGAAAGCATGGGGTTGCTTTTAAAAGGATCTCTCAGAGTCACTGGGTTTTACATTGAATAAAAGAGGGGGGGGGGTCCCTTAAGGTGCTGTTCACCTAAAGAAATAATCATTAAAACGATTTTTTTCTTTTGCTCTTTTTAGGACGAAAGTCTAACGTGAACTGGGCATTTGCATTCATCCCTTTGCTTACAGGCCATTATTATGCTTTAGGAAGGGGTATTTTAGTTGTTTATTCCAGAGGGAGAGGTACATCACAGCCTTTTATAAGAAGTAAAGCAAAGACATAGTGTATATTAACCTAAAAAACCAGTTTCTTTGTTTCCAGATTTTTTTGGGCCAGAATATCTTTTTGTGACATGTTTTGAAGCCCATGTTTTGGTCTAGGATGTGATGTTCAGGGGATTCTAAATGGGGGCCCAGTAGTCTCAGGCTGAAATATTCTGTTCAAAATGGATATCAATTATAGTAATTATGCTTATAATTAGATTAATGAACCATTTATGCCCAAACTCCAAGTGCACAAACTTCAAGACCTGCTGAGGAGTGCCCTAAGAAGAGGGGTGTATGTAAACAAATGCCTGTTCGGCAAAGTAATCAAGATAAGGAACCTCACCCCAGGCTGGATTAGAAGCTGGCGGGCACCTTTCAATCACAGCAAGTCCCTAATCACTCAGGGACCTCCTCTGTGGTTCCCGCAGGAGGGAAAACGGCTCCCTCAGAGGTCTGGTGGCGATACAAAGGGTGCCCCCAAAACGCTCCCGGCTAAATATTCCTGAGGCAGGGGAGGGGGAGGGGGAAGACACAGCAAGAATATGCATACAGCTTCAGTCTCTGCGAATCACATTGTAACGGCAAGACCATCATAACTGTTACTCAGTAAAAACTAGTTATGCCAACCATGCATCAGACATCATCACATCTAGTGGAGGGAAGAATTCCAACATTGTAATCTTTTGACCTTGTTCCAAATAAGAATTTATATCCCTTTTCAGAGTATTAGAGTGGTGTTTCCAGACAGAAGCCTCCCTTGCTTTTCTTATTGCCATCACCTCCCCTTCCTCCCTCAAGGTTTAATGCCACCAGAAACTGTAGAAAATGATTGTGCCCAGTATCCAGGTCATTATTGTTTAATCAATGCATCTCTGGAGCATGAACAACGTACCTAGGCCACAGCTATTGTTTGGATTTTCTTTAAAAAACAAAATAAAACACACACAAATAACTGTAGTCCTGTTCCAAAGCTAAATTAGACGTCCATTCTTCATGATCCTGGTTTGCCTTCAGACAATGTGACTGTACATGCCTCATATTGTACGTCTGGTCTACCAGAGACACAGAGATCAAAGGTCACATTTAACATTCAGGAGGAGGGGCGGGTGCAGATTAATTAATAAATTAATACAGCGACGCCTTTTATTGCTGGAGTCCAGCATTAATAATCTACTTTTACAATCCCAACGGACAGCAAACATTTAAGAGAAAAAGCCAGAGAAAGAGAAAGAACAATCACTTACCAGCCTCTTTTTATTTGGGGAGCCTTAGAATTTGCAGACGCTGCCAGTCTGCCTTTAATTAGTTGCACATCACCCCCTAACACAAAGAAACACAAATCCAGATGTGTCTTGGCAGCTCCCCATTACAACTTTAATACTTGTAAACAAACTGTGGGGGGGGATAAATAAATATGCGGATCAAAAAAAAAATACCTGTAAATGGCTTTTTTTTCTTGTTGCAGAGAGAGGAGGAGGAGATGGTGCTAGTGGTGGGGGCGGAGGAGGAGGAGGTGGGGAGAGGAGAGCCGCTGTGAGTGTGTGTGCGAGCGGCTGCTCTCGGTGGTCTCTGCTCTCCCAGCGCGCTGCTCGCCGTCCGCCCGCAGTCGCCGTGTGCGCGGAGGGAGGGAGGGCGCCGAGTCTCCCCTCGCTCCCTCCCGCTCCCTGTTTGTGTGTGTGTCTGTGTGTGTCTGTGTGTGTGTGTGTGTGTGCGCGCGAGGGTGCGCGCGGGGTGCGCGCGCGGTGCGGGGGAGGGGCGCGGGGCCCGGGCGGGGTGGCGCCGAGGTGAGGACGCAGGACGCGGACACCTGCCGACGATTGGCTGCGGGTCCCCGGGACCGCGGGAGGCGCCCCCACATCCTCCGGCGCGGAGGCCCGCCGCCCGCCCCTGCCCGCGCCCCCCGCCCCCCGCCCGCGCGCCGGCCGGGATCAGGTCCTTCTGCGCGCGGAGATAATTGTTTGCGAGGGATGGAAAGAGGGCGTTTCCGGCGCTCTCCCCGCGTGCGCGGGGGTGTGAATAAACTCGGCTGGGTTCTGGCTGGGTTGAGACGAGCAGCACAAGAGACGGAGGAAAGGTCGTGTGTGCTTGAAGAAAGCTCTGAGTTCGCGCCCGACCGCGTGGCTCTTCAGTGATTTTCCTGGTGTGCCCGGAAAGACTTAGACGAATCGTTCCCAGGGAGGTCGTCAAAGTAAGGGAGGGCGGCTCGCTGCTCTGGTTGTCCAGATCTTTTCAGAATTGTTGTGCCAGAACGTAAAAAAATTGGCGATGTGATGCCTGACGGGTCCCAGAATCCGTCTCCAGCTCCATCGCCCTCTCTCCTCGGGCCTTTTCACCCAGCCCATGGGGTCGTTTAAAGCAGATGTTTAACTTACTGCCCTATTTTTAATTCCAAACTTTGCTTGACAAAAATTACTTTTATATTTACATTAATCTATTTTACACTAGTATAACTTCTTGACACTTGGGAAAAATAGTTTGATAATTGAAAGATAAATCTTTTTACTGCTGGTCAAATAGAGACAAAACTCACTGATGAATGCGGCTGTGGATTAACTGCTTCACTGCCGCCTTAAGGAAAATGAGATGCCCGGACCCCTGCTGTCCTACTGTTGAGAAGAAGTATGCTCCAGTGGAAATGGCCATGAAACAAGATATAAAATATAAATCTTTTCTGATCATTTTCTCTAAGAGAAATTTCTTTCTCAGAGAAAAAATATATAGTAGCTAATGATAAGCTGCAGAAGTAGAGAATTAAAAATTTTCATATGGTTTAAAAAGAAGTGGAAGTTTCGTATTAATATTAAAACTCTATATTCCATAATAACCCAATAGCATAGTTTCAGAGAAGGAAGAAAAGCATGATAATGAGTTTTCTTTTATAATAACAAAATGCTGAGAAGACTTTTTAACCATTTTGTATTTGAATGTTCGAAAGATTGACCTTGACCACATCAAGATTCTGCCCCCTCTGGAGGATATGTTATTGACAAGATGTCAAGGACTGTGGGCAGCGTGCATGAAGGTGCTGTTCCAAGAATGGAACTATTGAAACCGGGCAGATCCTTTGTGACTCATTGATAGACATTCATGTTTTGTCATTTTTTAAAAACATAGTATAAGTTTGGTTATAAAATCAATAAAACCAGTTATTTGACATTATAAACAAAAATCACTGGACAGTTAATAATTCCTTCAGTTAATAGGGTATCTTCATACTTTTATTGGTGCCTTGTAAGAACAGGGAAGGGAATTTTCCATTTGGTTTTTTCTGAGCTGAGCATCATAGGAAATTTATCAAAACATAGGCACTTGTAATGAGTGAAAAGATACTGGAAAGAAGATAGATTCTTAAACATCTTTTCAAAATATTTAAAATATCAGTCCGATGATAGAGTTTTGAATTTTGTAAATAAACAATTTTTTAAATCAAATAAAGACATCATGTTTTCTTGTGCCTAATTTGCTTTCCTTTTCAGAATACTTCAAGCTTACTTTCAAAATGAAACCTTAGGCAAATCAGAGAAAATAAGCTATAAATTCCAAAGAATTTTACTTTCCAGCTTATAAAGGAAAAGCTATGCAGCTTTTAGTCTTAATAATTAATAGTAAGAGCTACCGTTAATGGTTCATCTGTGTCTGACACTGTACTAAGTAATTTGCAGGTACTTTATTTTGTCCTTGTGATAATCCTGTGATAATCTGTGTTGTCAATGCCATCAGGTGGATTCTGACTCCTAGCCACACTGTGTACAGTGGAGTGGAAGGCTGCTCCAGCTTTTCGCCCTGTCCTCTCACCTTCTGATGGTGTATCAGACAAGGCTTTGCTGCTGTTCACAGAGTTTTCATGGCCATTTTTTCCGGAAGTGGGTGGCCAGGCCCTTCTTCCTAGTCTCTCTAGTCTGGAAGCTCCGCTGAGACCTGTCCACCAT